GAAACGGAGTTTATCTACTAGGGTTGCTAAAGGTTTTGTAACTGAAAACAAAAAGGGACCATCTAAAAACTGTGTCAACACCAAATGTCCAAACCAGGGATTCAGTTACCATCTCTGCATCTAATGTAAAAACCCCATGTCATTCCTTCAATATTTACTCAGCAAACATTTCTTAAGCACCTACTATTAATATATGTCAACACACTGAAAACATTATATTGCATTTAAATAAGAGCAGACCCATTCAGTAACTCATTAATAAACTATAGTCAAATTCATATTGCATGGATTAACACAAGATAGAAAATGAGTGGCAGAAGGGTCCCTGCTGTCTAGGAGCTCACTTGAGTGGAGAGGTGTGCAAACTGTGATAATGGGTACACCAGGTGTTTACATACAGTTTTGGGGAACTCAGATAAAGAATCAATCAATGCTGACTAAACAGATTAAAGATGGCTTTGCAGTGGAATTGACATCTGAGGGCTCTCAAGATGAGTAGGAATCCTGCAGGTGGAAAGGGAGAAAGGCAGTTCTGGGTAGAGGAATCCACAGAGCAAAGGCACAGTTCAGGAGCAAGTGTAAGAGCAGAGAGCAGTCCTCTGTAGCAGGGGGACAATGAAAAAGGCTGATACTGTGGGTGGTGGAGGGGTGAGTGTGGAATGGAGCACGGAAGTTGGCTGGGAATATATTGTGAAGGGCAAGGAGTTTGTGCACAGGCATCTTGGTGTCATATCTCTTAGAAAGATAATTCTGAAATCAAAGGGGAAGGTGTCTGGGAAGGGTAAGGAAAGGGAAGGGGTACCTATGGGTGCACATGTGTATAAGGCATTATATTTCCTTGTGTGAAGTGGCATTACAGTAACTTCACTAACTGGGTATAGGTAATTAAAGGTTTGCAATAATTAACTTTGCATAGTGCTTAAATGGAATTATTATTGAAGTATAACATATGTAATCCTCTTGAAAGAAAGAAAAACAACAATTTCATTATTTTCCTCTTCTTATGAATGTAATACATGTTAATTTCAAAGTAAGTGCATGATAAAATTGAATTTTAAAAGATAGCAAAAATGAATCACAATCACACCACCAGAGAAAAACATCATATATGACTCTTCAAACTGGTGTTAATTCTACTACCATAAACCAGACACTGAATAAGATTGAGGATGGATAGAGTAATATGGACAACTGGAGACAAGCTCATTTTAAGCAGAAGTGAGTATAATTGTGATCTTGCTTTGTGAAGTGCAACTTGCCAAATATGACATTTATTGCTACATTATGGTAATTATAAATTTTATAAATTATTTATAATTATCACAAAAATATGCTAAGCAGTACGAGGAGCACAATTGGAAATAGTTTTATACTTTGCAATACACATTTCTTTAGCAATTCCTTTATGTCTTTGAAGCAAAAATGAAAAGCGCAAGTAGTGAAAATGGAGAATCCCTTCAACCTTTAATTACCTTCAAGTGATAACTCAAGTACTGAGAAATGGTAGGCTTGTATCCATTAGTTCAGAAACTCTTTAAGAAATGCCAAGTATGACACCAGAGATAGAGCTATCAGTGAACAAAATATAGGTATGGTGTCTGCAATGCATGGAACTCACAATTTTGTAGTTTAGCAAGATAGTCTTTCTCCCTCCACTCCTGAATAGAAATTTCACCCATTTTTCAAGGTCTGGCTCCATTTCCACATTTCCATGGTGCACTCTCGCACTGTCCTGACCCCTTCAGGCTTATCCTTTCTCTGACATTCCATAATTCTTAGAAACGCTGCCATTAGGATCATTCAATTTGATCATATGTTACCAGGAACTATACTCTATTAAATGTATAAAAATCTCTTTTCCCCAATAAGATTTAAAAAATACTTGAAGATAAAGACTATGCTTATTACTTGGGGTTACGGGTAGATTTTTCTGAGCATCTGACAATACTGAGAAATACATTTAGGAAATTTTTGATAAAACATTTGATTATGACTGAACAGTGTATTTACTAAAAGCCTAATTCTTGACCATACTAAAAGAAATGTCAATAAAATCTTCTCTCAGCACTGTCTTAAGGGTTGAATGACTCACAATATGGGTGCAGATAAAGGAGACCTGCTGAGAATTTCCTAACGGAATCTCATGATGCACTCTTCATTTCATTTGTTATTTTAAAGGTAAATTGTTTAATACTTCCTAAAACTGTTGTACAATTTAAACGTCTCTAAACAGCTATTCGATTAATTTTGCATTGAAAACTGCAGTTAAATTAAGGCTCAGTTACACATAAAGTTTGGATAGGACAGGAAAAAAATCTGATTGCTTGATGTTGCCATTACCACATTTCCAACTAATTTAAAGCTGCGACAAACTAGTATACAGTTAGGCTATTAAAACAGAGAAGTCATTCTGTGAATCCAATCTGTACTTTGGCATTTTGCAAAAAGCTTGTTGTTATTTGCAGGTTTCTTTACAAACACTTTAAAAATCAATTTATATGATTTATAGGACGTGCTTTGAACAAGCATTTTGATAAACTACAGAATAATATCCAAATTAAACCTATTGCTTAAAGGAAACCAAGATGTAAGGAGGCTCCAGTAGAAAGATGAAGATTTACATTGATAGAACAGGGACATGTTTGTCCTTTTCTATAAACTTTAAAGCTTGAAATCATTATCAAGAGCTTCTAATTGCTGTATCCATGGTTCTAAACATCTTATTGTCTGCAGAATTGTTTGAGATGAGATTTTTCAGAAACAGGAAAACAGGGACATTTATGCTACATGTCAGGTAATGGTGAAGAGCATACAGTTTGAGACTGAAAAAAACCAGCTATTAAGAAAATGCAACATTCTCATGAAAAAGTTCTTACTCTATATGAAGTAGAATTTGTTAATCAAATGGTGCTAGCATATATCTTTTTTCAGTTTTATTTATTTATTTATTTATTTATTTATTTATTTATTTATTTATTTTGAGACTGAGTCTGGCTCTGTCGCCCAGGCTGGAGTGCGGTGGCCGGATCTCAGCTCACTGCAAGCTCCGCCTCCCGGGTTCACGCCATTCTCCTGCCTCAGCCTCCCGAGTAGCTGGGACCACAGGCGCCCGCCACTTCGCCCGGCTAGTTTTTTGTATTTTTTAGCAGAGACGGAGTTTCACCGTGTTAGCCAGGATGGTCTCGATCTCCTGACCTCGTGATCCGCCCGTCTTGGCCTCCCAAAGTGCTGGGATTACAGGCTTGAGCCACCGCGCCCGGCCTTTTTTCAGTTTTATAATGGATGTGTGTGTGTGTGTGTGTGTGTGTGTGTGTGTGTGTGTGTGTGTGTATGTGTGTATATATATATATATATATATATATATATTTATTTTTTTTTTTTTTGAGACGGAGTCTTGCTCTGTGGCCCAGGCTGGAGTGCAGTGGCACAGTCTTGGCTCACTGCAAGCTCCACCTCCTAGGTTCACACCATTTTCCTGCCTCAGCCTCCCAAGTAGCTGAGACTACAGGTGCTCGCCACCATGCCCGGCTAATTTTTTGTATTTTTAGTAGAGATGGGGTTTCACCATGTTAGCCAGGATGGTCCTGATCTCCTGACCTTGTGATCTGCCCGCCTTGACCTCCCAAAGTGCTGGGATTACAGATGTGAGCCACTGTGCCCGGCCTATAATGGATACTTTTTAAAGCATTTATTCCTGCTAAAATACAAGTCTACTAATATTTAACAAATAGAAAGACTTTTCAAAACTATCTGAGAAGAGAATGTTTCCTTGGTGTTGTCATCATCCATCTGTGACCATCGTAAATCCCCTCTTCCCCACTCTCTGGCCATATCTGGCCTAGGCCACATAAAAGAAAACATTTATTAAAACTTTGGAATAAATTAATTGCAAATTCTAATTCTCAAGCCAGGCACAACTGAAAGTAACATGTCAAAACATGCATGGAAGAAAATATTTTCTCTATTCATGGGCAGAGCATGTGATTGGCCACCATTAATAAGATCTAAGCTGTCATAGGCAAGACACAAACTTCAGGCTTCCAAACAACAATAGACCCATTGATACTAACAAATCATCACTTGAAAAGGAGCTCCTAATACTCATACGCACAGAGGCTCTTCCTTGATGACATCTTGTAGTCTTATGTTCAGCTGTTTAACACTCCTCTTTGCTAGCCATGTGGACCAAAAGCAATGCACTTCATTTCTTGAAGACAGTAGCCATATTCCTCTTATTTTTTTTTTAATAACAAGATCTGACCTATAATTGTGTGCTTACATTAAGTACATTTCATTTCTAAAGGAGCAACCTATACATGCATGTTCTAAGAAATCAACCATACAATAAGTAACATACCAGTTGTCTCATTGAGTCTCATTTTAAACACAGAAACAGACGTTTAAATAAACCAAAGAGCAGGGCATGGATAATCCAATTTAGGATATCTCATCAAGTTTAAGTTGGCTAATCCAATTTATATAATCTCACCGAGTCTCATGGTTTACAGTGATTTATTTCAAACAAGGGATATTGTAGGAGTAAAGGTAAAGAAAATCCCAATCAAGAACCTCCAAAAGCCATGTTAGTGTTAATGAGAATTAAGTTGATGTCATGAGGAGAGAACATGGTCTACTGGTCTATTTCTGTAGATGAAATCTCTCCCCTTTGCTTCTTAAGTCTTAACTGTTTTTACAGCATTCATTGGTGACCGAAAGTGTGTACCAGATAAGAATATAAATGAAATAAAGCTGATGCTGGTTGCTATTTATTTGAATTCATATTTTCATAGGCCTTTCTAACTGCCTGATATTTTCCTGGAAGATTAGAGATAACAAAGCCATGGTTCATGTTCTTTGGATATGAACCATCAATTTTTCTCTATAGGTAGGTTTAAAAAACACTAATGATGGTGACTCTAGTTAATATAAATGATTAGTAATGAGGGTACAGATCCACACAGAGACATATCAGAACATTATTAGTTTGAGTTCTGACTGACCTTCAGGTTGATATTGTGCTATAATCGTCACTGTCTGTCCAGCCCCCTTTAGTGCAGCAGCTGCCTGTTCGTGGGATGCACCACGGAGGTCAATGCCATTCACCTGAAAGAAAGGAAGCCAGAGAGTTTTGGTATTTCATAAGGCATATTATTCTGATAGAAGAAAAACGTTTCCCCCAAACCAGGCTGTCTAACATTGTATCACATGCCTCAGAAACTCCTCGTATCCTACTTAGGTGTTTATGGACTTTCATGGTCTTAATCACTTTTAGTTAGGAGAGACATTAAATTTCATCTTGTGGTGTTTGTGCCATGGTCTGACTAGGTTGGAAACATTTTTATCTATCCATGTTCTAGTGTATGCATTTAATATGCCTCTGTGAGCTTCCTAGATTTCTAGGGTAAATAGGCATAAATAGGAGCCTTCAAAATTAGAGGGAAAACAGGATGATAGAGACACATGTAATGTAATAGACAAATATATGCTGAAAGATTAAAACATTCAGATGAGATTCTGGGGACATGGTATAAAATGGGGCCAGCTGGTTGCAAAATTCCTCTCTTTGGTCAGTTGCCTAGCCTTGTCATCCTGAGCCTGGTGAGACAGCCCTAAGCCTTGTTTTAAAATATACTTGACTGTCCTATTTCTCATATACAATTCCAGAATGGATTCTGACAAAAATGAAATAAAGGGTGCTCAGAGTTTATTTAGCTATTGCTAACTCCCATTTTAGGTCCTATACCGAAAGAGAAACAGAACATCTTAAAAGTTCCAAATTCTGCCAGGGTGAAAATCATTCTTAAGTCAAATTTAATAAGAAGCAAATGCTAAAATTTTTCTTGAATCAATTCAGTCTAAGTCAATACAATGTAATTAATAAGTGCTCTCCAATGACAGAGTTCTCTGTCTGCCCCAGAAGAGGGACATTGACTGGAGCACAAAGGGAGACAAGATAAACCCCCAATAAGTTTTTCTGATGAACACACAGTAGGTATGGTTTTCTAACCTACAAAAAACTAGCTTTTTGCAGGATAGCAGAATTCTGCTTCCTTTTGTTTATGGGGCAGGTTGACATGGGCTATGAAAGAAGACTAAAAGAACTGATTAGCTTATATACATTCAAAATATATAATTGTATTTTGCTTTTCATCAGTCCTATTTGACAATGACATTGGGTGGTAGATGGGGCTTACTACTTTGTTTCCCCATCAGGTCTGGGACATCTATATGCTTAAATTCCACATCCTCATCCTCACATAATAACTTTGTTAACATCTCCTTATTCTCTTTGGTAATTTTCCTTGCCTCATCCCTGGCTTTCTAGTGTGGTGAACTCCTTACAGAAAGCATTGATTACATGGTAACATTGGGGAGTCCACTGAGCTAGGCCTGATCTGGTTGTGCCACTCTCTTCTGACTGACTGCCATACTACTTCTCTGAGCCTCAATTTTTCTCCTCTCTAGGAGGGAAGGGACTGTTAGGCTGTATGAGTCTAAAGTCCCCTTACACTATAAAATTCCAGATCTATTCCTTGGTAGATACAGTCATTTCAGAGACTGTCTAGGCTACTGATGAGCCAGAAGTATGACTCCGCCGGCCAGAAGAGACAGGAAAGGCAATTTGATCCAGGCTACTACCTACAGGAGGCTGAATTCCACAAACTTCACATGCCAAATAATGTATTCTGTCAAACAGTTAAGGTTAACTTTTTATAAAAGAATAATATGTGATCATGGCAAATGCATTCTGTTTCAGAAATGTTTAAAAGGAAGAGGTAAAAGTCCCCCCACCATCTCCATTTCTAGAGGTAACCACTTTAGTGTATACTTTTTTCTTTTATGATTCATCTAATATTTCTTTAATCATAATTCTAGTTCCATAGGTTTTCATGTTATGGCAATTTGTACCCGAGTTTAATGACAGAAAAGGCAACAATTTCTAAATTGGTGGTAAACATTTCTTTACAATTTTTAATGTAACACCATTTATTAAAATAGGCAAACTATAAGATGAAAATGAAGGCAACAGAAAAGCTCAACTTTTCACAACCAACAAAATTAGCACAACCTAAGAAATAATTTAGAAAAAAGTGTTGTTAAAAAGACATAGCATTAAGTATACATATGTAACAAACCTGCACGTTATGCACATGTACCCTAGAAAGTATAATTTAAAAAAAAAAAAGACATAGCAATTTCCATTCTATTTAATGCACAAAATCACAGCAGATAGCAGCAAAGGACTGGGCGGGGCGGAGGGACATCGAGGATAATTTGATAATTCACATTGTGATTACTCTGCACATTGATGAAAGATAATTCACACTTCTAAACCCTCAAGACTTCCCTTTTTAGAGAACCAAAATAAATCCAAGACACCTTGCTGACACTTCTCACCCCTAAACAAACTGATGATTTTCTTTTCTTGAGACAAAGGCTCGCTCTGTTGCCCAGGTTGGAGTGCAGTGGCGTAATCTCAGCTCACTGCAGCCTCCGCCTCCCGGGTTCAAGCAATTCTCCTGCCTCAGCCTCCTGAGTAGCTGGGACTACAGGCACTCACCACCACGCCCAATTAATTTTTGTATTTTTAGTAGAGACAGGGTTTCACCATGTTGGCCAGGATGGTCTCAATCTTTTGACCTCATGATTCGCCTGCCTTGGCCTCCCAAAGTACTGGGATTACAGCGTGAACCACCGCTGATGACTCTTTTACACATAAAACTGAAATAGTTGTGGCAGCAAAAGATTTTGATGGCAATGAAAGTTTGTAAACTGTACTTCGATCTCTTTTTCTTATTCCTAAAGTACAAGACGCAGGGTTCTCAATCTTTCAGTAGTGCTTCTCCTGTAAATAATCCTTCATTTTGTTTGGCAAAGGCAGTTTCTGACTTAAATCTATTCTGGTATACTGACATATAACAAAACGACACAGGTATTGCAACAAGTGCACCTGCATGAACCAAGACACTGACTTGGCCAGTCTGACAAGGTAAGTTGCAGATCCAGGCAGCTGAGACGTTGAATAACAAAAAGCTCCATTTTCAGAGTCCTTGATGGAATGCTCAATTAGATCAACTATGGATGTATGTCCTTCCACATCTGGCTGTTCATAAAAGCTAAACCTACCATTTGAGTGCTCAATTCTAGTGTGAAGTGTTTCACCATGGGAGCGAAAGCTGAAGCTTAAAAGATAACACTCTTCAGAACTGTCCTGATCAAGGAAAGAACCATCTGGCACACTTGCTAGCTTCCCTTCTGCCTCCCCACATGTGATTGGTCCCCAGTACCATCCTTGTTTTGCAAGGTTTTTCAGCTCCTTTGTAAGACTTGTCACTACCATGGGACCACTGCTTTGCACTGAGACATAAACTCTTGCAACACCACGAGCAGAGTTAAGATTAAAATTCAGATGACAGAGCATACTTTCAGCTACATGGGCTTCTGTGCTAGTAAGTCCACTGAAGTTCCTTTGGATTTGATTATTCTGCATTGCAAGTAGCAATGGTGAGAGTGGAGGGACATCATCGTGACCCACTCTCGGGCTCTGCAACATGACTCCCGTAGTGCCAGTCAACAACCCATTTATGGACTGATCCACAAAGATCTCTGGGGCAACAACTAGGTCCTGGACTACCTGACTCTCATCTTCAGGGAAAGAGCGCCCTTCCACTTGAGGAGGAACCACAGAGACTTCCATGGCAGAAGAACTGTCCAGACAATAGCTACGTGATCCTTCCAAAGGACACATCCCCTCATCTAAAGGCACAGTATACTGAATGTAGTCCTGAGGCAGAAGTCCAATAACGACAGGCACATGTTCATCCGGGCAAAGATACAGGTCTCCGTTCTGAGAAGCTGAGCTTTTCAGTGAATTGGCTTGTTCCTGGCACGCGGTCTCAGACTGAAGGTCGTGGAAATCCTTCCGGACGCCATTCAGGGGTGGACTCGGGCTGGAAGAGTGCTCTTGACTCTCACCTCCATCTTGCTGCACGTCTCCTCAGAGTTTGTGGGCTGAAGAGGCCACGGCATGGGACCGCAGTGATGGCTGCAGAGGCAGGTGGCCTTATCGGCCTCTGAGCTCCCATGTCTTTAAAGATTATCGGTGCTGAGGAGGAGGAGAAGGTGTCCTCATTGGCAGAGCTCCCAGAGGGTGTGCCCACCTTGCCTTTTGGCTTCTGTTTGGCAGAAAGCCGCCTTTTTAACGTACCCATCAAGCTTTTGCTTTTTGATCTGTTTTTTTTCCCGCCTTTTTCATCTTCCCTGTTGATATCGCAGCTGGCTGTATCTTTACCATAGCAGCTACCAAATAAGGAATTATCTTTCCAAAGTCACTGGCTAGCGATGGTTGTTGTACTACCATGAAATCAGTTTATTTTTTACTTTTATTCAAGTTAAAAGATTTCCAGAAGGTTTTAAGACTATTTTCTTCATTACGACTAGTTACCTAATCCAAGGGATCAAAATGGAGGGGATTCACTTCTGTCATGATGGAATGAGATGGTCGGCCAGGCGCGGTGGCTCACGCCTGTAATCCTAGCACTTTGGGAGGTCGAGGTGGGCAGATCACTTGAGCCCAGGAGCTCAAGACCCGCTTGGGCAACACAGGAAGAGCCCGTCTCCGAAGGCGGCTGGGCTCCACTTCCTCGCCCAGGACCGGTGCGACGGCTGCGCTGGCCTTTCCTCCAGCAACTCCTCTTCCCGCCTCCTTCCTCCTCCTCCTCCAGCTTGTGTGTACTTTTTAAAGATTCACTATATGCACATGCAAGCACATGACTTTATCTCCATTTCTCTTGCTCTCCTTACATACATATTTTAATATATTATTGCCTTTTTATTTAACTGAATAGGTCATATCATATAAAATTTGACAGCTTTTGTTTTGCTTTTCATTGAGCAATGTATCTTGGACATCTTTCATTATCATATCACCTCATATCACTCTACCTTTTTAATGAAAGCCTAGTATTCTATGTTACGGATGTGCCAGCACTTTTCAGTGAGATCCCTCTTGATGTGGTTAAGGTTGTTTCCAGTTTTTCTGCTACTATAAACACTTATAAAAGTGTTTCTGAAGGATAAATTCCCTGGAAAGACTTCTTGGT